GAGAGAGAGAGAGAGAGAGAGAGAGAGAGAGAGAGAGAGAGAGAGAGAGAGAGAGTCAACGAGATAACATGCGTTACGGTTTTTGAAAAAAGTACGGCAATACTCTGATGCCTCCTTAATTGATTTCATAATGGCGTACAGTTGACCGCGAGGTTGCATGTTACTCATGTGAGCTTGTACGTTACTTTAACCAATCACGACAGCTCTCTGGCAAGCCATGTTTGTTTTATACTATATTCTTTTAAAGTGAGATAGACGACCACGTGGCCGGAGCGGCCATGCTGAAATAAGTCGTGCTTCGTTATAACCATTTATATTATTGACATGTTGATTATTTTAGCTATGCGACTAAAGTAATCGTCAAATCAATAATCCAAATTATTCAATCGTCATGTAATCACAAATAATTTAACCGATTGATAAAATTGATTATTGATCAGCGTTCTACGCTAATTTTTCTACTTAGTTCTAACGAAATCTGTATACGAGCGGTCGGACGTCTAATTTCAGACGTGTATACATGTTTCATTAAGAAACGGCGCTGAAACCGCGACGTCCTCCGCGGCCCCAATTACCGCCGGTGCAGCTGAAACAGCCGAAGGAGAACAACAATCTACGGGGAGGTAGACTCCCGAGTTTGGTCACATTAATCTAACGCGGACGTAGCCTGGATAGACGCGTCGTACACAGCTTGCTTTGAAATCGACCACGATCGCGACAAGGGCGTTCTTAATTAAGTTGTGCGCGATTGCGTGTTGCGCTCGCTCACTCACTCGCGCGTCACGTAGACGACGTTTCCCGACGACGCGTCGCCGTCAGCGGAACGGGGTGTCGATGGAAGACAAACGAGGGAAGATATAGACGTCGGCGGATCAGAACAACGGACTTTTATCAATGTTTCCAGCTGATGTGGCGCTTTCACAGAGGTTTGATCGCGTTTTCCGACTGAAACGTTCCGAGCGGAATTATTTTCTTCCCGATCGTTTTTCTCCCCTGTCTCGCTTATCACAATCCGTGGTCGCGATATTTCTTGCCTACCGTGCTCGTCGCTCGCGAAGGCCGGCCTCGTACAAATTACGTAATGCCGTTATTATAGCGCGGGTAAAGCCGCGTAGCGGAAAGAAGTAGCTTGGCATTATTGGATCATGGGCTCCGAACGGATCTCGTTATCCTCGAATACGAAACGGGCATCTGCTCGTCCAACGTGACGCTCCGATAAGAACGTCGCATCGATAAACGGAAGAATGGCGGCCCGAGCGGAACATCGTTCGCGTTATTCGTTGAAAACGGAAACTCACCTTCCATATCCGCGCAACAGATTTCCGGTAGACAGACCTCGACGGAGCAGACCTTAGTCGAAATCTTGGGCCTGCGACGTTTCTCCACCTGTTCTTTCGACTCCACGACCGAAGCTACTATCGCCGCCGCCTTCTCCTCCTCCTTCTCGAAGACTGTCGTTTCTCGCGTTAGAGACTCGGCCGGAAGTTCAGGCTTTATCGCTTTCCTCGTCTTCACCTTTCTGACAGGCTTCGTCGGCTGTTCTTGCTCTTTGACTATTTGCTCTTCCGTCTTCAATGGCACACGCTTCTTTCGTCTACGCAACATTTCCTGCGAGATTTTCCGTTCGTCATCCACCAAAGGCGCGTAGCTGGCGAATTCCTGGAGAAACGTCGAGATCAAAGTTCTCATGAGAATCTCTCGCGTGTACTGCGTCGTTGTTAGTTACAATCGTGTTTTAAAATCCGCCGTGACGGCTATGCTGTAGAAAGGATGAACAATAATAAGTTACTCGAGGCGCTGTTTTTTTTTTTTTTTTACAGTATAGTTTCGCTTTAGCGACGAAAATCTCCATGCGAAGACGAGCAACGCGTTAATTATTCTCCCACTATATGTAAGCGCTGCTCGTTAATGTTTTAACATAGACGCAAAGATACGGGCGTTTTAAACAGACAGGATCTCGCATCTTACACGGAGAGTGCTCTTTTCTTCTTTGCGCGACTACTTAAATTCCTTCCTCACCCTCTCGACCGCGCGAAAATACGCCGCCTGCGATTCCATCAGTTCAGCGTCGTTCGTGAAGAACAAGTCGTTCCTCGCAGTTTTCCTCGACCGAGATTTCGTCCGGGGCAGCTCGCTCTTTTCCCTAATCTTCTCCTTGTGTCTCATCTTATTCTCCTCTTTCTTTTGCTTGGCCTTTGACGTGGACGTCGAGGGGCGTCCATGGACGTCCGCCGCGGGATCTTCGCGAGCGTTTGTTCGCATCAGCCGTATTTCCTTCAATCGAGTGTCGACGGTCTTTTCGAAACGACTGCAGCTCTCGAGGTACTACAGTAAAGGACACGCCGCCTTTCATCTTTGATCAGCGTAAAGTGACGTAAGATCAAAGTTGGAAATACACGTTCAAATTCGAAGAAAATAGCAAGCCGGAAAATTGGAGCTTGCAAGTGCGTAATGCAAGGGGAGACGACAAAGAGATGCTCTCTTTTCGCGGATAGTATCAAAAATCAAATTTGAGGCGTGTATCTTCTGGGACGATGCGTGTACACATCGTCCTTTTTTTAACCAATCACTGGAGCTCGTCGAGATACTCACGGAGTTTAGATTTGTCTTGTCGGCCTTGGAGCTGATGGTGTGTCCTTCGGCGCATTGCACGAGATATATCTTACCGTTGTGAGCACCGACGGCCAGGAGATGACCGGCTTCGTGAGGCGCGATGGTCATGAGACGCTCGTCGCAGACGCGGAACATGGCTACCGGCGCGTCCACGCCGTTAAGGACGTCATACACCTCAAGCAGGCCTGTCACACTTATGGTGAAGAATACCGAGTGTCTGGCCCTGCTCCAGCAGCCTCCGCTTAAATCAGTGTTCTGTTCGCTGTGCGCGCACGAAATTTTATCTTTTACTCTTGCTCTCTCTCTTTCTCCTGCGCACTCGCTCGGAACGATAACAACATTAACCCCGAAAGTACGCGGGCAAAAATGACGATCGAAACCGTCGTTTGACGGCGATAAACAAGACATTAATCGCGCGATGCAACTCTGTTTACGCGTTCCGCTCTGTTCCGCGCTAAATATTCGCGGCTGTGCTGTACCTTCATGCACTAATCCGAAGAGAGGTACCGCATACTGACGATGTTGACGATAAGATGTATCAGCGGTGGTGTATTGTATCGTAATAAATAATCAATATATGTAGCGCGAATTTGGATTGGAACAGATAGTTTGGAAGCAGAAGCTTGATTATTTCGAGAATCGCGCAAATTTGAAGCAATAGTAGAAGATCGAACTGATCAGGCAGCCCAACTCTAACAGTGGCGGCTTGAACTGATAGCAAGTACCCGAAAGCTCTCGCTTCACCTCGCGCCACCAAACCGGTCCCAACGCGAGTAACATCAGATCCGAGAGATCCGTCACTTTGGTCAAGAGTCGCTTGCTTTAATCCGATTAATTTTAACCAACCAACCGAATGGTGATCAAGCTATCCTCTCTGGTATCGTCCGCCCAGATCTTAGCGGTGCAGTCGCCCACGGTGAGGAAGTTCTTTGGGATGAAGGGGTTTCGATCGATGGCGATGACCGGGCCGTGATGACAGTTGAATCTATGGGCAAGCTTCTCCACCAGAGATGCCGTCCGGCGATTGACATTGACTACCACGCCGTTTTGCATGCCCGCCATGAACCTGTAGCCCATGGTGGGCTCAAACTGCAGCGACGTGACGCCAATCGCCTTGACGACATTTGCGCGAGCCGGCTCATCCAGGTCCATCACCAGCACATCGGTCGGCTGCCTCAGCTTCCTGATGTCCCACCACCTGATCGTGCCGCTGGTGGACGCCGAGAAGAACTCCGTGTTGGTCTTGGAGACGAGCCAGAGCGCCTGGTTCGCCGGGTTTCTTTGCGAGTTGCCAGCGAAAAGGGGAGAAGAAACGAGAGTGACGAGGATTACAATTTGGCAGCGAGGCGGTCCTTTGGAAGCGTTTTGCCGCCGTGACGATGATGACAATGACAACGACGACGACGAGATCACGACCGCGTTTGCAAAACGAGCGAGGGAGAGGAGTCACGGCGATCTGTAAAGCCAGTCGGCTGTAGACCGCTTCGTAGCGTCGACCTGCGACAGGCAGCTTGTACCGTTTAATTACCGTCTAATTCAGTTAATTGACCGACATAGGGCTCGACGATGGGGAACGAGGTCACACTTTCTCGGCTCGGCACGATCGGATAGAACGGTACGTCTCTCTATTGTCGTTGATTTCGAAATTTAGCTCGACCGAAGTGGAAAACGCGAAGCCAATAACGGCGATCTCAATAACGTCGCGGGGACTCTCGATAATAAACTTAATAACGGCGCAAAGCTATCAGGAAATTACGAGCATTCGTTTAATGCAATGAAATTAGAATCATAATGTAGAACGTTAAAGGAACGTTAAGCGAAAGTGAAAAAGAGAATTATCGAAAGCTGCTCGAGGAATATACACGATTATTTGAGCAAAATAACGGCGCAGATATTAATTAAATGTATGCGAGTAAATGCAGTTATGTATGCAGCATGTATGCGATAAAAATGCAGCTTTCTGCTTGTAATTTATACGTGGGTGGTCAAGCATTGCCAATTGTATTAACACGTTCTCGTCGATGTACGATGCCCGCCGCAGGATGCATTAATCTAGGCATTAGAAACTACCGTTTGCACGGCTTTGCGGCGTTTCTCTCGGAGGATATTTGCGATTCCGGACGCCATACGTCAAAGTCAAGCACGTTCAAGTTCTGGCCAATAATCTCGGCGGATAGGTGTAAGTCCTAGGGAACTTCCCATTCGGAGATGGATAGGTACCTGTGGCTAAACTGAAGATGCGACATTTGCACTGGCCTATTCCCAATCCGAGTGTCCCAGTTGCACACTTGGCCAGACATTAGTCCGCTAATGAGCATCGACGGATCGCGCGGATTAAACTCGATGGTCATTAATGGCGACGAAGACCTCAGTTGCATCACCGGCTTGTTCGGGTTTTCTGCAACGAGATGCAATTACGCGTCGTATCATTTCCTCTTGGGAGCTTAACTATTGCTGAATAAATGTTCGGCCAAATGCCCAAATATTGGGTTGTTTTTAAACTTCGTATAAAAACATATAAAATATCCTCTCATTATATTCGTGCGCGCATTCTCTTCTCTTTGCGAAACGCAATAATTCGTTTATTGCGAAATTGAGGAGTAACCCAAAATTGACGATTAAATGGACAGGCATTTTCTCACGCGCACTTTAAATTTTTTTGTGCTTATGCTTTAAATAAAAATATTCGTATTGCTAAAGGGCTTGCATAAAGCTGGCTCGTTTTTAATATAAAACTTGAAAATATTTTTATTGACGGTTTTCCGCATGTATGTTTACTTGTCTCTGTATCTATATGTATATTTTATATGTCTATATATATATATATATATATATATATATATATATATATATATATATATATATGCAGTATCTGAAATCTGTGTTACACTCGTGAAGAATTTTATACCGCGCCATATTATACAGCCGGAAATCATGTTACTGGAAATGCGTTCGGCTTTATAGGAGATTGTTTTTGTCATGTGATACGTTTCTGTCAATAACAAACGTAAACAACACGCGTGCGCGCCGCGCGCGACGTCTGGTATAGATATAAAGATTCACGTCAGTGAGACACATTTCAAATATTATGAAGGACTTTGAAACGGCCAATCGATTTCCGCAACCAGAACCAGGACGGGCGAATGACAGGTCGCGTTTGACGACGACACGATGAAACATACTTCCGATACGTTGTAAAACGTGTCACCCGACACGCTAAAAAACAGAAAAGAAATCTGCGAACGAGCGAGAGAGAGAGAGAGAGATTAATATAGAAGGAAATTTAATAAAATCCAGAAATTCGAGGAGAAGTTGATTCGCGTGAAATACAACAGAAAATTAATTTGCGTGAAAATTTCAAATTATTTTAATATTAAAATTATACAGAAAATTGCATGAAAATAATATCAAAAATAATCAAGTGAATTGCATTGGTTCGGTTTCAGTAGAGGTAATTTTTACGCAGAATTTTGAACTCCCATTTCGCGTGACATATCGACGTATCGTTCAAAGCGCGTTTGTTTATTTGAAAACGTCTCGCGGTGACGACGATGCTCGCGTGATAATTTCAAACGACACTCTACCAATGTCCCATATATAGGAGCAAGGATCCACGCTGGGTGGTTGCCTCTCGAACTCCATGAAAGAGTAAGCGCCGGCCAATCGATTATGTTCGCCGGACGACCACGATAGATGACTGACCGGTCTTACGATGGGCTGCGGGTCGACGTACACATTTGACGTCCTGAAAGACAAAAGGAAAGTCACAACCCCCGCGAGATTCGTATAAAATCGCACCCGTGGAAATCCCACTTTTCGCTTTCTCCTGTACTTTTTTAATAAAATTCCCACGCGGGGCGCGCGTAAATCATCCGCTCAGCGACGCGACGATGAAGGACCGTTGCTTTTACACGTTGCAGACGTCATTTCTTCCTTTTGTCCCTCGTTCGTGCGGCAGTGCACTTCGTGAGCGAGCCGATTAATTGTAACGACAGCCATGGATTCTTTGTTAACGTTTCGAGAGGATACGAACGAACGAGAGGATAGAAGCGAACGAACACCATTAGCTCTTGGAGAGACGTAACGGCGATTTCTTCCTGTCGCGATCAAAATGGTTTTCCCCGCTCCGTTTCAAGGATTTGTCGGACGCGAGAGCGAGACGACAGGACACTTCTGATCTTGTAAAGAGAAAAGCAATGCGAGGAACAAAATGTTGTCTCGCAGCGTGGCTGTTCGTGAGAACGCGGCTTCCGTCTCGAATTTTATCCGATTATTCTTTCAACTCTCTCTCTCTCTCTCTCTCTCTCTCTCTCTCTACTTCGCGAATGCTCCTCTCTCGCGCTTCGATGAATCCCCGATGGAGAAAAGAGAGGACAAAAATATTAGAGACCGTTATCTCTCCCGTTTTCATTTTTTATTCGTTAGAAAAAGAAATGTTTTTAATCGAAATGTTTTTTACCGGTGTCTGCGGATTAAATTGGGAAGATAAGTAGTGCATTCACCGTGTCAAGCATTGCTACAAATTCAAGAGCGTCGTCGCAGCGTCGCAGACGGCGACATTTAGGGACTCACGTGTGTGCACATACGAGGAAAGAGGATCAATCCGCTCGCGTGGATCGATATCCGGCCTGAGAGCGGCGGAGCACCTGCGAGAAGCGCAACACGTGTTCGGTCGCGCGAGGAAGAAGACGGAGAAAATTCGTGACTCGCGTTAAACAAGCGTCGCAGGACGAAAAGCCCAGCGAGATAAGCGATTTTCCTCCCGTGAGCCGCTCGACGACAACGTCATCCTCCAGCGAAGCGACACATCGATTTATGGATTCGCCGTCCCGTCAATAAGTCGCCCTTCATGTAAAATACGCGAAGAGTTAGTCGAGATACAGCGGGACGATAAGAGTATACGTATCTCGTGCGCGTATCGGAAAAACGTTGCGAGTGGATGTGTTTTCGAAGAGGAAGATTTCTTTCAAGTTAGCGAGTTATTGGACTATTTTTTCTCGCGTCACGAGATGCGCAAAAACTGCCTGTGGATTTATGAAAGCCGGCCTTTATCAGTCTGGACAAGAACGCGATCGGCGAGTGAGTTGCGAGGAAGATCGTACGCGTCGCGTATGATAATTCTGCACGTGAGCGCGATTTGTTGGGGGAGATTTAATCCAGCAGCGAGAGGAAGCGCACGTCGGACTTGGAATGTCCCCGAGATATCGCCGATAACAGGATTTGCAGTTCAATACCGGTCGATTGCAAATAAAAAAAAAAAACGGGTGATCGGGTGCGCATCATCTGGAACCCGAGTTTCGCGAGCTCTCTAAACAAACAACTCGCACGAACGTCGTTAACGTCGTTTTCGTCGGATTCCAATTAAAAAATAATAACGCGCTGCGCGTGAGAATAACGACACCTTGTGAGCTTTTTTTACCATATCTGCAATTTCTCTAAAACTGTGACGTTTGCAAATTACAAATTTTGATAGCAATGAAAATGCGACATACCTCACACCGCGAGGAAGGACCAGCGCAGTCGGCACTATATCATCGAAATAATGTTCGTAAATGTTGATCGCGCTATTCTGCTTCATGCAGCGCTCCATAGGCTAAACGCGACAAAGCAATGAATCGATAATTAGTCGACGGAAATTAATAACTAAACATCATCGTGTAAGAGGGAGTTGTCGAAAATATTTTTTTAATGCTTATATAGCATGCACAAAATAAGATGTAATTTAACTATTTTTATTTATATTCCTTATTGCTCATTTATTTCTCATTTCTATCAATTAGATTCGTTCATATTCAATAATAATAAAGAAATTAACGAGGATTTAGAAGATATAGTACGATTTTGACTACACGATGCCTTTCTTTACTCAACAGTCAGTCAGTTTCTTCGACAGTCTCTCCGCAGTATACGATGATGTCGAAAAGTAGACTTAAATAGTCAGAATATATCTAATAATAAATATCTTAAAAAACCGCTCTCTCTCTCTCACGCCGACGAGTGTCTTCATCCTCGGCTGCCAATTTTCGCCCCGCTCGACGCGCCGGCGAAATCTGTACGTGCTTTCTTCATCCCTTGGATTTATCTCCTTGGGCCAACCGCCCTCGAAGTGAAACATCCCCGTATCGCTCGTCGCCTTATTGACGGTTTGCATCTGACACGAAGGAGCAAAAAGAGGTATCACGAGTTGGCGGGTGCAACGATGAAGTTCTGAGAGGCGACCTCGTCACAATCCCTCGACAGCCCGTCATCGTCCTCACCTCTTCTGAGCGTCTTTTTATCGCAAACGTAAAACCTTAGCGCCACACTTAACGCTCAAGACGCCCTTGAGGAACGTGTCGCGACGGTTAAAGCCGTTTACTCGGGATAAAATGCAATCTCCCACCCTCTCTCGCACTGCACACTTTACATTATCAATCCATATCTCCATCGCGGCGCGGCTTACCTGTCTTCCATAAGACGCGAATCCCTACCCATCCGCCGCGGGCTCGCAATAAACAATTTACGACACGTTTTAACGTAAAGCCCGGTTTATGTTACGGCACGTGTTGTCAAAAACGTTCTCATAAATATTGAGCCATTACGTTTTCATGGGATTAAATTTGCCGGATTTTATTTTTATTGCGGAAAGAGCGCGTGGTCCGACGTAAATTGATGCGGGACGCGCGCGCGGAACAATATTACATTTGAATTAAACTTTCCGCGAGTTCCGCTTCGCGCGCACGCGCGCGCTCGTGAATACTCCGGGATTTCCAGGCGTAAATTTTGCATATTTTTGTGGTGTCCCGAATAATACCTAATTTACAACGGCGTAATTCCTGAAATGTAAGAGATACGAAAGCTTGAAATCGCCGTGCTTACAAATCCGAGGCGTTTATTAATTTTCGGAATATGAAATCGCGACCACAACGGAGCTGCTGTGTAGAATTAGTTCGATGGTGATTCAACGCGAACATTTCCATAATCCGCGTTCTCCCTTAAATCCCACGGTATACATGGTATATACGGAGTGTCTCGAATATAGAACTCATTAGCGTTCAGTTGATGCTGAATTTGTGAGTGATAGTTTGAAACACACAGCTCTGTATCGCACGGTAACATCGGCAAAACGGGAATATCAACGAAGAAACGTCGTTTGGAACTTCTCATTCTTCATTCGCGTTAAGAATTATTCAATATCTCTTTCAACAATCCGCAAGAGACAGCTCTCCTACGTCTTAAAGTATCTGTTCAATTTTTCGAGTTTCTTCTCTTTCTTTTCACAAAGGACTTTCCTCGCACTTTTATTACATTATTTTACGGCCATTCCCAGCGCGAGTCGACTTGTCTTCTTTTGATTAGCGGGAGAGTTGCCGCGGCGAAAGTTATCGAAGTTACGAAGATTAATACTGAAGAAGCCGAACTTTGTTCCCTTCGGGCTCTGCGATTCCCTCACCTCATGAAGGGCAAATTGCGCGGACTTCTGTTCGCCGCGGTCGCAGTGGCTCCGTTGGACGTAGCGCCGCATGAGTCGCGGATCCGGCGGGATGTTCTCCTCCACGTTGATCTCGCTTTCCTCGAAGAAACATTGCTTACCGAACTGCGACCTCGGTTTGATATATGCGTACTGGATCAGCATTATTGGAAACCGTTCTCCGCCGAACTGGGACGTATGTAAAACGGCGAAACGACGGCGGACGGAAGGGCCTTTAAATTATTTAAAAGGAATAGGCCGAAGAAATTCGGCGCGCGTCACGCGTTTACCTAACCGCCGATACTTTTCACGCACGAGCGCTTGATCGAGAGATGCACACATGACACGTGCGCTCAATATAGCAGCATGACGAGCCATTAAGACGATGTTCAGCTTGTGAAACACGGACCATGGCTTGAAACCGGGAATAATACCGGGTGTAACGAGATAATGGGCGTCTTGAGCAACTTCCCCCACGTGTTGGCTACTTGACACGGTGGGCCTCGCGCGTGTTCTCTCGTCATTGATGAGCCTAATTACGCGCGATTACGAAAGTGCTGGTAAGGATGCTTCTCAAATAATTCGATAAAATTGCAATCGACCATTTCTACCATATTCGTTGCGCGAGATGTTGCACAGGCAGCTGCACAACTCCGATATCTAATTAATTCGGCAGTCGTACTCTTTAAACGGAAACTATTACGAGAGAGAAGAAACTCGAATGTAAGTTCGCGATTTCATTTGCTCGCGGCGAGCGCAGTGCTTCTCCAATTTGCTTACTTACAGTGAGAATCGCGCGGAACTTTCCAACAGAGTTGCGCGAAAAAAACAAACAATATTCAAGCCTCGCGCAGCGTGTCGGAAGTATCTCTTACTTTGCGAAATAAACGATACTTCCAGAGTTCGGACGGATTGATATCTCAAAGTAAACACGCGTGATGGGACACGCGTAGGAAAACTTAGCGATCCTCGTCGTGACGGAGGGAGGATAGAAAGAGAAAGAGAGAGATAGGGAGAGCGGTTGCGTAATTTCTTGCGCGGCGCTCTGTTTCTGCGGTGCATCCTCTTTGTGCATCGGCGATTCGATTGCGCGTCAATTCGCCGCGCTGGATGCACTCTATGGAATTACCGTACTGCGCGCGTTCTCGTTGCTGCCGGACCATCGCGATGACATTATCCCTTCGCCGAGAGCTTTCACAATTTCTGCGGCCCGCAATCCGACGTCCGCTAATCAACGCTTTCGCGCTACCCGATAAATCGGATGAGCCGCCGGAGCGCTGCACCTAATGAATCAGATTCAATGCGGAGCCAGCGGCATTGTGATCGATTATCCTGCGTAGGCGGGCACGCGAGTCTGGAACTTGGCGATACCCCAATGCCGGATTCAATTTGTGAGTCCCTAATGGCCGCGCGATCGGCTCGTCGAAGTTTTAAGAAATTGGACGCTGCGTCCAATATATATGTCGACGAATGGCACGCCGAGCTACTACGATCGCCCGCTGATTTAATGCCTCTATTATCGTAGATGGAATCGGCAACGATCGTCCGGAACGCAAAATTCACTCTTGATGCTTCTCTGATGATCTTATACAAGATCTGACTCTACAGCTCCGAGTTCTTCCTTCGTTAAGAATTCTGTGTAGACTTGAACATAACAATCGCTTGCTCATCGACATTTGGACAAAGATTTAAAATAGACGAAAATGGTCAGTTCCTTTTAAACGTTTCCAAAACATGAAGATTTTAGAAATACCTTCAATTAGTTGAAAAATTGGTGCTTACTTTTTCCTAAACATTGATTGATATAAAAAGTTCGTCAAACAAAATAGAAAACAAAATTATTCAATTTCGGAGGATCAATAATTTTTTCGAATAAAATTAACCATATTGACTCGATATTTTTATATATAATGAGGATTTTCTGTTTTCTTTTTAATACCCGAACTCATTACGAGAATTTGATAGAAAAATGACAAGTTTTTTTGCACCAAACTAATGCAACCTGTCGATCCGTCTTTGCCACGTGTCGAAGGTAGATCAACGATTCCATTGCAAGTTACAGGTTCCACGAGCAACAGCGTCACACGAGACGCGTGACGATATCGCGAATCCCGAATCTGAATCAAAGATCCACGAGATTAGCGGCAGTTTGCGCAGCCGTAAACTAATGACAATATTATTCTGCCGCGAACGTCGAGTTCGCCGCGGAATTCGCCAATCAATGTCCTCGCACGAGTTCTCAAATCGGATAAGCCCGGAGATTGAGCCACTCGTAATGAATCGGATCGATTGGGGGATCGGGCTTCCCTGCGAGCGTACGTGCGGCGACACATATCGAAGATGAGCCTGAGAGCGCGCCGCTAAAGCGATTTAGCCACGGATTCCAAACCGCGGTGGCGTCGCGAATGGAAAGTTGGAAATGGAATTCGCAGGACCTCGGCCCCGCGGTTCCGGAGTTCCCTGAATTTCGGCGGCAATTAGGAGCGACGTTCAATGGACGATCACAGCGCGGCGGCCAAGTTGCGAGAGAGGGACTGGAAATTAATTCGGCCGTTGAAACGAAGTGATAGAAGCGATGGCTTCTCACGGTTACGTTACATCGGCGGGATAATTCTATAAATACAAAATTTAGGCCGGTATTCATAGTCAGATCTTATATTTAAGACTGTCTAATTATAAGTTTATCTTCAGATATTATACGAGTCATTTCATTGGCTACGGAATATCTAAAGATGAACTTAAGACGGTTTTAAATATAAGATCCGACTTTGAATACCAGCCTTAGAGCGGGGCAAGGACGCGAGCGCAAATTATAATCTCTCATGAAGTCCTGCTTGTCTGTCGTAAACTTCAGGCCGTTCACGAGTGGACGCACACGTCGACACGTGTCGCGTCAACATTTCCTCAGCAGTCTCAAAATTTTAGTGAATTCAGACGAATATACCTTTTCGATCACTCCTGAATTCTGCACGATTCTTGCAAAATTAATTTCGCCAACTTTCTGGGGAGGAAACACATCCATTTCGTCGTATTTGACGACTTCGTGAAACTTCTAAAATGTAACCTCTTGGAACTAATGGGCTCGCAGGGGCAATAAGATGTCATTGACGATAGCAACCGTAAAAGTAAAAATGTAAAAGTGCAGCCGTGAATTCCGTTCCGAGAGGCTCCCAGCGAAAAAAATGTTGAAAGCTCTTTGGCAAAAGGTAAAGTTGCAAGTACTAGCAACCGCGTAGATTCAACTCGCCCACTTGATTGAGATAGCATTTCGATCCGAGTTGTAATATTCGTTGAGATGTTCGGCGCGTTTATTAACGAGCAAACTCTCAAGTGAGAGCAAATTTGCGGATATCGTGATTTTGTATCATTATATGCCTCCGAAGTAACGTGGCTTCTCATTCAGGTGTCCAGAAAAGCGACCTCGACGTCGCGCGCGCTCAGGAGACCCTCGACGTTGCCGAGAGAGTCGGAGAAATCTATGAAAGAAAAACTTCGATCGTCTCAACAAGCCAAGATTTACGAAACGAGCTCCTCGCTTGGCGGTGTCGCGATGCTTTTATCGAATGAAAAATCACGATTGTCGCGCGCGTTAAACGAGCATCTGCGGATTTCTCGTCGATTATTGGAACTGCGTGTTATTCCAAATACCATGACTTCGCGTAGAAATTCGAGAATGATAGAGAGTGACATGTTAATGGGCAATTTGCTATTTGCCCGACGTAATATCGTCGAGGGTATAACTACTCGGCTTAAACGATGGAGAAGTTCGCAGTCCAGCTGCGAGAAGGATAACTGTTCGAAGAAATCTCCGAGGTGTATCGAGGACCATCAGCAGTCCGCGGAATCCTGCGGGAAAACGATCGAAAAGTGCAGTGACGGTCATCAAACATCCGCGGAATGTCGTCCAGGTTCTTGCAGCGATTTATTGAGTCATCAAGAGTATTATCGGTCAATCGAATCCGGCTGTCCGATCTATTCGCGCAAACCTGCGCGATATAATGATCGGCGAGCATGCGATTCGCTAATGTACGATTCAACGACACGAGATTCTCGTGAATGCTCGCAATCTGAGATCGATGATGCAGACGTGAGACGAGTAATCTTTTCTAAGCGCTGGACCACCGGGAAATCGGCGACGGAAGGAGAAATCCATCGTCAGTGCCGGCTAAAGCTGTGCTCTTCACCTTATAGAAGCAATCGTGAAGAAGACAAATGTTCTCCATCATATACGCTGCCAGATTGCAGCAAAGAGAAAACGGAAGATGTGGGGAGAGATGAGCTTAGTAGACCTGTTTGTATTTCGCAACAATGTCCTAAATCAGAACCCTCATGTCCCGAAAAAATTCGCGCATCGATGGAAAAGGAAGCTCCCTGTGTGGGAGATACCATGTCAAGAAAACATCCAATACCAGATCCTTACGAAGATCAGACGAAACCCGACCCTCCGCCACCAAGACAACAACACTGGACGGAAAATCTGCCGGCTTATTGCGAATATTGCGTAAGGAAGACTCGCAAATCGATCGTAGAGCCCTCGCCAATGATGTTTGTTCCTCACAGGGAATCGCGGAAATCTCGGACGAAAGACGCCAAGATACCATGCTCTGCGAGTAACGCGGATAGAAACGGAATAGACGCCAAGACGAAGGTAACTCGCGCAATGCCGCGGTCGCAGGAAAGCCTACCGCAAAAATCCGCCGAAGACAAATGCGTCGATTCTCTAACGTTTCCCGTAGCAATTAATGCGACCAAGCCGAAAGCTCAGCTGTCTCCAACATTAACAAAGAGCGGCAGTTGTTGCGCGAAAAAGGAGTTCGTCATCTCAGACGTGAGCGACTGTAAGCCCAACGTGGCGAGCTTGAAGTATCGGTTGAGCAAATGTCCCTGCATCAAGGAGATGTGGAAGATCGCCGATCAGGAGTCACAGGTTGACATTAACAAAGCGCGTCGAAAGCGGCGAGTACCTTCGTCCCACACGGGGAAGACGAAAAAACCGCGGCGGGAAACCGCGAAGAGGAGGAAGGGAAAGAGGATCGAATCGCGTAATGGATGGACGCGACAGAGGTACAAAGTTCGCCTGAGGATTTTTCAGAAGAGAAACGAACAACTCGATCCGTCGCCAATCGCCGAGCTGAGACAACCGCGCTGCGAACAAGCCAGATCGTCGAAACTACCGTTGAAATCTACCGTGCGCGGGGCTGAACTTTCGCCGCGATTGGGAAGCCCGCGTCCATCCGATTATTGTCCAGCCGAGCGGCCGCTTGTCGAGCATAAAAGTTACCCGACGAAGATGGACGAGTGCAGGACGGCACGCGACGAAGGTTCGCAAAAGTGCAACCGCAAGAAGCGCTGCTGAGTTTTTGGAAGCTACTTTATACGAACGCTCGGAATTCGCGCCAGCGAATTAAGACGCCATTAATTTCGCGATAGCTGCCAACTTTACGCGGCCACTTTACGCTCTCGCGGCTACAAGTTGAAACTTCAACGGCACAAATAAACGCAAAGTGACTGACAAAGGTGTCTGTATTAATAATATCGCGGTAAATATTTCCGTTGTGCAGCTGGCGACTGCGATGTTGGCGCAGTTAAAAATTATAGGTTAAAAATTATAGGTTGGTTATTCTTCCGTGAAACGCGGAAGAGTCGAGTGGAAACACAAGGTTCATTGAAGTAACAGTCCGCTTTGCGCAGCCCCTTCAACGAGATCTATGTTTCCCGGGAATTTCACAAAATATGAAACTAATGATACGTTCGGTAATTGTTTGCGCTGCGACGTGGATACGCGCGTAAAAAAAATAGCACGGACGTTAAAGCACGTCCGCTGTATTATCCGCTTCCACTCTCTCTCTTTCTCTCGCGTGACAATTATTTAATCTCGCTAAAAACGCGAGGACATTAGAAGTTTGTGCAAACAGAATTTGCACAGTGTCCGTTTAATTTATTCCGCCTTGTTTATATTAATAGGAAGTTGTATAGCGGTGTTGTAAGTGAAATATATGCACGAGACGTCCAAAGGTGGCATTATAAAGGTGCAGGATGGGAGGCGTGGAAATGAAAAAATGCAGCTCGGGTGGCCCGAGACGGCTGCAAAAGAAGTCCGCTCCGCAGCAGCTGGCCTCCAACTTTTCACGTTTATCATTATCTCACCCTCTGTTCCTCCCTCGCGTCTTCCCCCTCTCCCCCTCCGCCCTCTCTTTCTCCGAGGCGTCCTCTCTCTTTCGTCGTACACCCTTATTTTTGTACCCAATGGAACAAACTTGCGCATCAAACGCCGTTGTTTTATGGCCGGTATACATTTTCATTTCCGTCGGAGGATGATATATCTCGTAGCCCTAATAAACGCGACTCAGGATTTAGCAAGCATTTATCTTGTCTACATAGCCGTTGGGTAATGGGAAAAAATGGATACGCGCGGGAGTTCGCGTTAATCCAATTCCGATAATTAATGCGAACCCGTGGCAGACGAGATTTCACATCCCAACGAATCTACGCTCCCAATTTGGTCGATTTCGTTTTGCATAACGTTCACGTTCCGCGTAACCGATGCTGCCTCGTTAATTCGCTTTCGTAATTTTACAACGTAACCCGACGATGAAGAACTCTAAAGTGGCTGTTCAGTCAAGGGGAACTGAACGAACTGTTGCGTGCGCATAAATATACCGTGCGTAATGCACGTCCGGTTAATAAAACACGGACTACGCGCGAGTACCTGTTTCCCGAACTTAGAATTCTATACTCAGCCAATGAGCTCGTAATGCGTACGGGGACAGTACGCGACTCGTTATGCCGCACCAGTGACTTTAAAATTGTCATCCATCCGCGAGTACGTTAACCCGTATTGGGTTTTTTCCCTCTCATTGAAATCGCGCGCAATTAAGGAGCGGAGCAACGATCTGCGGCATCGGCGATGTTCACAATCGTTAACTCCGTTAATTGAAGCCGACGCACAACCATGGATCACGGCCGTTCGGTTGTTTTCTGTAACGGACCTGGTGAACAGATAGACAGACAGATAGACAGACAAAAGAAAGGACGGATGAACGGACTAACGGACGCAGGTACAAGCAACGACAATCATGCACGGTATTTTCATGACACATTCATACGAAATGACACGCATTGTTGCAGATAAACGATGATTGGTATCACATGGAGCACCGATCCGTAGCGAAGAGATCGACGGAGCCGCATCTCGAGGTGCACCAGAGGCTAATGAAAGACTCCAGAGTACGTCGTGCGGAACAACAGCGAGCGAAGTCGCGCACCAAGAGGGATCTTATAGTCAAACGTCCGTCCAATTTATTAACAATGATGAACGACGAGAGGTGGCCTCAAATGTGGTATCTGGTGAGCGTGATTTTCATCGATAATTGATGCCGCGCTGTCGCCGCTAAGTTGCGCAATTGATTAACCGATGTATTGTGTGTCGAGAGATTCTCGTGACGCCGCGCGGACAAGCGAATGGCGACTTTTCGGGAAAATGTTGACACGATGTCCGGTCTAGCTTGACGAATAACTCGCTGCCGGAAGAATTATTATTGCGTCAATCGACAATATTCGGGGAACAGCGTTCCCCGCGACGGATTGAATAAAAGTTTGCGATCAACTCAACGACAATAACGACGTGTGCTTCCGACGTCGCGAGTAAACGTACGGCGGCTTTTATATTGCAACTTTCTCGAGAGAGTTGTGTCGCGACCAACAACACCGATACGAACAAACGATTGATATCAGTTGAGAAGGAGCGACGACATTTTTATCGTAGGCCAAGACCGTGCCTTGCAACCCGGAACCGGAATGTCCGAGGAATTGGATAATTTTTCTTTTCAGAATAGGGGAAAAGGGCTGGATATGAACGTGCAGGGCGCCTGGTCAGAGGGGATCACCGGGAGCGGCGTCGTAGTCACAATTCTCGACGACGGATTAGAGAAAGATCATCCTGACCTCTACAAGAATTACGTGAGTACCTCTGCGTCTCTCGCGCAAAACCCACAGACCCGTTCGTCTCTCCGCTTTTCTATCCCTCTCTCGCGAAGAGAGAAGATGAAGTAAAACACTCACGTACACTTATTTTCAGCGTCGCGAGACCGGTAGCCGCGTGTCTCGCATTGAATTTCCGCCTATTAAAATATCGCGGGATGCATTTACCGCTTCGTGCACTTTCTAATTTTTCTTGGCGAGCTGCGCAACGGCAATCTCGCAAAGTAGCTCTCTGTTGGATTAAATTTACGCGAATAAACGCAAACGCTTAATGTTTGCTTAATATCGTGCTCGCGCGCGATCGCGATACGTACGTACATTCAACAGAGGCCGTGAAAAAAAGGATCAGAGAGAGAGAGAGAGAGAGAGAAATAGAAAGAGATAGGAGGAGACGAGGGAGAGAGGAACAATTCCGACCTAGAGAGAATACGCGTACAATAGAATACGGCAGATGAAGGCGTATCGCGGCTGTGCATTGGGAATATCGGCTGTTGAGAGCAGGATATCGGACGGGGTTATCCGGTGCGCACGTGTATATACGCGAGCAGAGCTATTGATTCACGGCTGGTTACATTGAATAGTATACTTGCATACGCGCAGTAGAAAGTGAATCGTATTAATCAGCCAGCAGACACAGGCGCTGCGTTGACGCGCCTTAGTGCGTCGCTCTGATTACGCGAGCTTGTCGCGAGCTACCACGTGTGTTTCTCATTATGCGGACGCGTGTACGCGCGTGGATATCCATTAATAAATTTATTGCACGTGGATTCGCATTGTGGACGCGTGTGTCAAATACTCACGGATATATGCGCGATCGGGACTCGCGGAGTGTGACGCGCGTTGTTCTTTCAATTAGTCATGACACTTTATCTGAGTGTCGCAGCTCACGTATTATTCTCCTTTGACCCATTTTCATGTCTACAGAAACGAATGACAATTTCTTATTGAGGAGGAATCGAAGAGGAATCATGTTTTTTATTTATTACATTTGACGCGTCGATTAAAATAGAAATTCATTGTTACGAAAAGCGTGTTTTTCAAATCTTCCAATGATGCAAATGGGTCAAAATATTTCAGCCTGGCGTATCTTCGTTTCATCTAGATTCGCAACAAGCATTACGACCCGGCACTCACTTGTAAATTCGAAACTACAAAAGTTCCGCTCTCGTAATTTCTCGCTGGAAACTTTCGCGGAACATCCACCCCGAGCGGCTTCATGATACATGCCGAACATGCTTTTATCATTGCTCCGGCCTCATTTCGTTGTCATTAGTCCAAGCAAATACGTCGCTCGCGCGTCTATTTGTTCCCATTGCGAGAGATGGCGAATATTGCGTCGCACGCAATAGTACGAGTCTGTCGCGGATCTCAATCGATGCCGTTGCCGATTTTCGTTTCAGGATCCGCAGGCAAGCTACGACGTCAACAGCCATGACGAGGACCCGATGCCGAGGTACGATCTGGTCGATAGCAATAGACACGGCACCAGGTGCGCTGGAGAGGTCGCAGCCACTGCCAACAATTCTATTTGTGCCGTAGGCGTTGCTTTCGGAGCTGGCGTGGGTGGTGAGTGTGCTCCGAAAAGCATTACTTAACACTTCGATTCGCTACACAGCCAAAAGAGCGTTCCCGCGTAATCGTGCACAATTCCCTTCGCTCCTGCGTGCGTAGCCTGGGAGATAAGCGTCGACTCGTGGAAACTTTTATTCCAATCTACACGAAATCTTGGATCGTATAACACAAGAAATGGATTGCCATTGAAACATTTGTCGCGCGAGGATTTTAGATGAGATGAAAATGGAGGTCTTAAAGGAATGAATTATGATCGGTCGTAAACCAGGTTTATTGTCGTCCCGCCGCACGTATCCGACAGACGAATAATATCATAAAACGTATCGATGTTCTTTTCTTTCTATATCTCCCAATCGAAATGTTTACTTTATTAACGATCGGAGGGGAAGGAAAGTTCGAATGCAACGGACTCTCCGGGAACGACAGTTCAATTTCGAGCAATCACTTAAAACCGCTCGCAATCCTGTTTCCAATTAGCGTCTGGGAAATCGGCGTCGGAATTCGCGCTGCTGTTACGAGCGACATGTGTTTGTAATATGCAAAATTGGCATCGCGAGATGCAGCATCATTTTCGGATTAGAATTCGGGATTGGCAATAGCCCGCTACACGCGTTTCATTCGGAACCGATCCAAATCGGAGCGCGGCGCCCAATTTCAACCTTGTGAATTGGATCCTCTGACCCACGTGCTGCGGGAATTGTGTGGGATAATTAACTCAGCAAACACGAGATGTATGCTGTTTAACTATTCGGAGACTTCTGATATACACGTGCAGTATCCGAATGCTCCTCGGAGGTTGGTGTTAAAAGCTCGCGCGTACACCGACGCGCATACACATGCAGACCGTTCTTTATCAATAAATGGCCAGAATATCATATAAAATTATAACCATAACATAATAATAATAATTCGCATAATAATTATAAACATATTAGTAATATTGCATACAATTATTAATATATATATGTGGTTATGTAAATTATTACTAGTCTGATTATAACGCGTTTATATGTGTATACACGCCGGCAATTTTATTTTTAAACAGGTGTCCGTATGCTGGACGGCGACGTGACGGACGCCGTCGAGGCAAGATCCTTGAGTTTAAATCCCCAACACATCGACATTTATAGCGCATCGTGGGGACCAGATGACGATGGTAAAACCGTCGACGGTCCAGGTGAACTGGCCACTAGAGCTTTCATCGAGGGCATTACGAAGGTGAGTGCTCAACACTGCGGATTTTATCGCGGTCGGTTTCGTGCTCATGTTCTCGATTTCACAAGGAAATGCAAAAAAAAGAAGAAAAATACTGATTCATTAAGAATACTGCTGATGAAAATCTTAATTGCCGCACCCTCTGCGTTACCGCGTCTTTGGCGAGTTCGAAAGAAGGTATGTCGGATACCTCGCAACTGCAAACTTCGACGTAGCCGGCGTAATTCACTTAGGACTGCAATTTTCTTCGCTATAATTTCCTGCGCTATGACAAGATAAATGCAATTAGCTAAGAGAGAGGTACCCTCGCGCGACACGGGAGCTTCTAGGTTGTTTCAAGTCGCTTCCTCATCCTCGAGCGTCAAGCGGCAGGGGAGCTGCTGAAGCTTCGCGTTACTACGCTTATGCTCTGTTAACGCGCCGCATAAAGGAACATTATTACCTACCAAATACGAGCGAAATTCTTAGATTACGGCAACTCCCGTTGGCTAGACGAGAAACCTTTTTCCTCCTCTTTTCCCTCAGAAACACCCACAAATAAATGGTGAGCTGGAAGTCACGAGGGCATTATCATAAAGAATAACAAACGCGATCGATCGATAAACTATTTTACACTTCGGCGCGATACCGACATGCCGACGCCAGAAATTTTTCGCGCGTAACTGGAAATCGGCGCGTCCTGCGATTTTTCTACGAGTTGGAATTCCACTGGAATCGCTCTCTTTGGTCGGTGCAACCGCTTAAATCTCCCTTCGAAGGCAAAAAAGGAGATTCAACACTCTTTGTGATTGTAGTTAACAAACTCTCCGGTTCGATTATCGCACCTCGCCATTTCTTATATCTCGCGCGGAAGGAATGCATTTAACTCGCTAATGCCCTTCTTCGCAGAACTAAACGGACAGGAAGAAGTTGTTTTAAGTGCCGTAACCTTCGCCATTACGGATTCCTTCGAGACTCGTTCAATGAGCACGGCGAGAACTCGACCACTCGTCTTTCGGTCGTTACGAGACATCTGTGAACATCTGTGCAATGATTTTAGGATAAACGGAATTGTATTAATCCGAATTAACTTTTCCAATAGAAATTTTTTCATGTCGACTTTCAGATCAATCCTCACACAAGATAAATTAATCTTCTCAAATTAATCTAATCAAATTCAAGTTTCTTTTTAATAGTAGAGAAATGAACATTGCACAGGTGTTCTCAATTTTGTTTCTTAGTTTATCATGTTTTCTATCGATAATGTATAACAAGCATTGTTAAAGTATACATTCCCACATTGAGGTGGACTCGATACGCTCATCGCGCAACAAGCGTGCACACACAAGGCACACAATCGCGAGAGCACTATCCGCGGGAGTTGCTACTTTGAATCTCGCTCGTTTCGCGAATTTCACTCGTTCGCTATTAACGTGAGACGCGAGCGACGGTGTCCGAACGACCGCGTCGCGAAATGAAATGAAATTCGCACAAATGTATCATGCAAAAGCGTTCCCCGGGATCTTCCGAGTTTCGGTGCGACAATGGCCATTGTCGCTGCCGATGTATACACGCGCGGAAGCGACTCTTCGATCGCGTTCGCAATGTCCCTTTATCGCGATCCTAGAACGGCGAACTTTAGCATTGAGAGGGGCTCCTATACCTCAAGGAACGATCATTAAAGCGCAGACACCTAGTATTAAAGCCGAGCCATCAAGAACTGTCGGCAAACTACGGCTAAAGATCCCCGGCCATTCCCGCGATCTCCGTGATCCACATGAGAGATATCCCGCCCTATTTCATAGACGTAGCGGTTATTGGCCGATAGTCGCCAGGAATCCTCTGCGAAACGAGTCGCGAGACTTTCTAGACGATCATCCAGCAATTCAGGCGGTTTTATACGTCGACACTTTTATTCCTCGAGATGGATTCGAGCAACGAGATCTTCTTCGAATCTCGTTGGTGTCATTATTATTCAGCTTACACGAATATTGTTGGAGAAAGCGACGACGAATGATTATATGTTGATGGTGTACGACAAATGAGCGACCGGTAACATTATTTCCATAAGCTCTGTGAGAATCGCGACGTTAATTATCGTGAACTCGGAGAGAGACGGTGTAATTGTATGTTAATAATATTCGGCGGGTTACCATTTCACTCGGCCGTCTCGACGTCCATCCACGGACGCTCTTCGTATCTTCTTTCGACGCTGGTGTCGTAATCGTCGACGGAATCGTCGACGGAACGATGACAGACGTAATTCGATTAGCGTGACGACGACGACGAAGAACTCTCCTCCAGCTAGACCGGGTTTAATAGACTCGCTCGGCGAGGTCAACCCTCAGAAAGTTTCTAATTGGGTGCTTTTAAGCGACCGACCCGCTTGAGTCGCGCTAGCACGTATTACCATTTTAAACTTACTGCAGGCTTACGTAGCCATAAGTCATATGCAAATGTCAGTATGGTCGGCGGAAAACTCGTTGAAATACACGGAAACGCAGTATCAGCCGAGATATATCGAACGAAAAAAATGGCCGCAGGTGCACCACCATCGAAATTCGTAAGAAATGGGCGAGTTAGTCCGCGAGACTGGGCGGCAGGTAGACACGTGAATCGCTGGATGTAACTTCTCGCTTACTTGCCGTAAAGCGGATTACAAGAAAACTGTTACATCAAGGGCATAAGTAGGAGAGAACAAACGTGGAGGAATCGCATTGCACATATTGAAATATGTTCAAAACTCTCGATTCGGAATTTTGGTTCTACATTATCCTGCAAGTTCTGTCGAACTGGAAGAATCGGTGAAGAATCTTGAGATATGATGTTATATACGAGCTATTATTCTACTTTCATGATACAATCGGTTACTCACTGCCGTTTACTCCATATTGAATCCTTCTTTAAGACTCAATATGGAGCATTTATTGTATTAAAATAGGATAATATAACTCGTATAGTATTTTTCAAGTACGATGGAACCTGCAAGGTAAATGTGGAACCAACATTTCATTTTGGGATTCTTTTATATACACAAGACAGAATAAACTAGAAAAAAGTGATGAAATTTTTTGCATTGATTTATGAAACGCGCTGTTATTTGCAATTTTAGTTTTAATAAAATTGTGGCTATCGTTACAAGTCGCGCACCGTTGTTGTATCCGACGAGCAGTCGTACGCGCAATATGATCGGCGAGTAGTGAAATGAACAACGCTTAAACCTCTTCTCGGTAGCGATATTAAATAGCCATCGTTCTCTCGAGATTGCTTTCGTCCCTCTTAAGATATCCTGCTCGATAAAGTCCAATGCCGACATTTGTATTCTCGGCAACCTATCTTTATTATCTACGCAAGAACGGAGTCCTTCGTGGTCAGAACGCGAGCCAGAAATTGGGAGAGACTATGTCGAAAGATTTGAGTGAATCGGCCTCGATAAATTTTGCTCTCTTATGCTTTCCTGGTTTCAGAATCTTCATTAATTCAATTAGATTACTACGTTTCGATAACTGACATTTCGTTGTGCGTATTTTTCTAATTACAATTTACCTCTTACATCAATATTAAAATTTATGTGATATAATTTCCATTATATAATTTGTAACCTGTATTTGTGTGAGATAAAATATCTATGCAATATAATATTTCAACACAAACCACTTTAGAAATTACACACGATATTAATGAATATTAATGATAAATTAATGAAATTTAACTGTAATGTGTAATTTAATGTAACATTCGTGAAGTATATACCCGCCATTTCTTGCTAGAGCTGAACTAATTAAAACGTTTAACAAACGTTTTATCCAACTATTTTACTTCAACATTCTGCATCTCAAAAAGGACGACGAGCTTATATTATATCGCAGAAAATCTAAGCAACCAAAATAATAACCAACTATATCGAGCACTGCGTTATCTCTGTAGTAACTTTGACATTACGTACAACTGCACAGATATTTAGTGCAATGACAATTCTCTTTGTAAGCATATCGGGTTATACACCATCTTATATTCGACAAAGGCAAATGCACACGACTGAGTCGGAATTCTCTTTGGGGCAGCGCTAACAGATTCGATAACCTCGTCCTTTGGTCAACAGAAGCGTAACTATAGGGCTCATATTTCGTATGTTGCCAACAGAATTGTAAGGAATATGCGCTCGCCTGCTATTACCGACGTCAAGTTGGATTAATGGGTGCGCGTATATTTTTTTTGCAACATGTGTTTTCATCTCCTTTCAATAGAGCCGAATGATATTTTTTTCATATAAGTTATGATAAAATAATGTACATGTGATATGAGCGCACAATACTAACTTTCAAATGTTTAAATTATATTATTTTATCTCAATTTTATATCCTGCGAATATACTTGCACTCTCGCAGATATGAGAGAGAGAGAGAGAGAGAGAGAGAGAGAGATCAACCGAAATAAAATTGTTCAATATAAATCTATTAAAAGGAGACTGGAAAAATATCCTTGCGAAGGATGTAATATCAGCATAGTCACGTAATGCACAATAAGAGTTTTAATGTAGCCAATCAATGCATCTCATGAGTGCGAGCAGCCGGTTTCTTAGTACGAGTCTGGCCGTCTGATGCAGCCAAGTTGATGCCTTATCACTTTACGATCAAATAGCCTACTGATCAAAGGCCCGAGCACTATATTACTGAATTAGTTAAGTCTCAAAGAGAGTTCAGAGTTCGTGGTCACGTCTACGTACACATAGGTGCGCATGGCGCCCGGTCTTATCACGGGATAGCCGGATCTTTAGTCTCGGTAAAGTGAACACCTTTATGACCTCGGCGAAATTGCATAATTTATATTTGCCGTGTGAAATATTACCGGGACATTTGTGGAAGAAAAATTCGCGTAATAATCGATTTTATGCGCGACGGCAGCGCATCCATTAGAAGGCAAAAAAATATTTTGTCGAATAAGATCATTCGTTATCGGCTACGTTAAACTTCACAATTATCTTCGTGTGTTAGCGATTATTTCATTTTTTCGTAGAAACTCCCCGGGAATTTCCTTCTTAAGTAAATACGTATTGTGCACGAATACCATTCAACACTTTGGCGATTCTGTCGCAGATTGCAAGTTCAAAGGGCAGTTTTTCCAAAGCGAATTTTTTAATCTGCTAACGACGGTGCATATAGGAAGTTTCTCTCGTCACGGATCGCGGCAATTGAATCCTGACCCCTCGAAAGCCATTAGCGCTAAACACCCGACCTCGTCGACTTCCTAACAACGGTTTCGTTCCGAATCATCTACCACTTCGTCTTCGAGCGCACGCTCGTAGAAAGCGGCTTTAACATGCAAAGTGTCCCGAACTTCTAAAGCGCCTTAAGCGTTTCGAGCATCTTAAAGCCAACTACCGGTGGTAGGAAAAAAAAGCCGACCGCGTCTAAAGTATCTAAAGCGGCAAAGCCAGATTCACTTGAGCCTGACGCTAGAAGCAGTAAATACGCCTGTTAAACCCCGTCGCCCGAGTTCCGCGTTACATAAATTCGTTCAGCCGTGGTGCGATGTATACTCTCTCCTTGCGACTTTCTTACCAGGATTATTGTCGCGCCCTTAACACGTTGACTATGATCAACGATGGTCATCAGTGATATAAATAATATTGTATTTTGGATAATTGAGTAGATTTTTAAACAAACTTCGGTCAAATCGTCAGGGTCGTAATGGCAAGGGCTCCATCTTCGTGTGGGCGTCTGGGAACGGCGGCCGAGACCACGACAATTGCAATTGCGATGGTTACACCAACAGTATCTGGACCTTGTCCATCAGCAGCGCGACCGAGAACGGCCTCGTGCCTTGGTACAGTGAGGCGTGTTCGTCTACTCTCGCCACCACATACAGCTCGGGTGCAACGGGTGAGAAGCAGGTCGTCACTACGGACCTACACCATCACTGCACTAGTAGTCACACCGGCACGTCCGCGTCGGCGCCACTAGCCGCCGGTATCTGTGCCCTCGCCCTCGAGGCGAACAGAGATTTGACCTGGAGGGACATGCAACACATCGTGGTTAGAACTGCCAAGCCCGCGAACCTCCAGGCACCCGACTGGGTGGTCAACGGGGTCGGTAGAAACGGTGAGTGAGCGTTGCATTTTTCAGGCAGGGAAGGAACTTTTGGATTTTCTTGGAGATTGAGAGAGGCGTGCAAAGAAGTTAGGTTTCATTAAGAAGTAATCAACGTGCGCTTGGAAAGAGTAATTATGTGGAGAGAATCTTATAGTTTTTTTTTCATGCAACTTTTTTTTTATTTTACTATGTTTTTAGTAGTGCGCACGAGTAATACCGTCAGTAAAGTTTGTCTTGTTGAGAAAAATAATAAATTTTGCTGGGAACACGCATACACATAGCAAATTTTTAATAATAAATAGTAGTAATAGTAGTAATAGTAGTAATAGTACATTTTAGTTCTTCTGTTACAAATGGCACATTATGAGTAAAAGGACAATAATTTACTGCAGAATGTCAATCTGTTCCCCGATTTACAAAATTATACAGCAACTTTTGCTCTAAAATTTTCTTTGTGTAGAAGTTCGAAAAAATATTTGTCGAAGAAAATCAATATCTACGTTAATCTTCTAATCAAATAAACAATTTTTCACGACAGGATGACTCTGTGATTGTGTGACCGATTAGTACTTGTAACGATTTTACTCTCTAATGTACTCTTCCATTAGATTATATGTCCTTTTTGTATATATATCGTACGGGCAAAGCTTGAGATGCGTGGTAATAATTAAAATTACTGAGTGTAGGAACATAAATTTGATATCACGGTCGAGTTTGTTTGCTCAACAGTGAGCCACAGCTTCGGTTACGGACTGATGGACGCCACTGCCATGGTACGTTTAGCAAAAAGGTGGAGGACCGTTCCGGAGCAACACAAATGCGAGGTATCGGCGCCGCACACGGGCAGGTAAGTGCTCGAGCGAGGAAAGGAAGAAAGTTACGGTCTTAAGTAAAAGCAGTTCTAATATCGGCATTCCTTTCATAATGTCGATACACAAAGAAAGATATAACGGTTACACAAAGGATCTATCGGTCTTATGAAAAGCGCTTGAAACTGGGGAAAATCGAGATTTGACTCGACCGTACAGATCACTATCTGCCCCTTAGGGCAGCGGACATGCCTCTCGCAGATTACGGATCCGTTGGAGCATGTCGTCAAGCGAGCTTTACCCGTTCGACATTGCGCGGGAATCCTTGTAACCGTGTGTAAATGCGCCGTTTACATCGATGGAGGATTGTAACTACCGGGGATTGCACGGATTGCAATTCGCACGATGCATCGTTATCATTCTCGAGTTAAGCTTCCTCGATAAGCTACTGAAAATAAAGATTCTCAAAAGCTACGAGATGCTTCGTGCCGCCGACGCAATTTAATACCCGGTCGCTCCACTCTGCCTCAGAAAAAGACAAGTCAGTCATTTTTTAATTCAAGTAATATAAATTTGAAGATGAATTTTAGTTTCACGTATCAACACGAGAAATAAATTCCTATTTCTTCGAATGCACTTGAAACAATATCCGATTACCGTAAAAAGCGCGCTCGGAAAGTGGCGGTGAAGAGGATATACAAGTATTTAACAAATAATACGCGATTGATCAAGAAGCACGAGCGATGGTTTGAAAAACAGAGCAGAATGTATAGCGCCAATTAAAGTATCCGCGCGAGTATGACGCTTGACCCGAATTTTCGTCTACTTTCTAGGCCAATACCGCCAAAGAGCCAATTGATTCTCGACTTACATGTCAAGGAGTGCAGCGGCGTTAATTTCCTGGAGCACGTTCAGGTAAGTTAAGCACTCGTACGTGACATCGCTAATTAGAGGACTTTGTCGATGTCACGAGGCGCCGACGGAGCTTCGCCTCGGAGAGAACGTCGACATTTTCGCGGTCGCGGTCGAGAGACGGTCGGAATTTTATTCACTTTTTATTCGGCATCGTTTTACGTCGCGCCTACGGAAAACTAAAAGCGAACTACACTCGCGCTAAGTGGTTTCGCCTACCCGATTCTCGTCAAATTAACTTACGGTTTATTAACGATCGCATCTGCCGACGAGGCGTAATTACTAGACCGTGCGTCCGAATCGTATTAAGGAAAGTAGAAGTAAATCAAGTTAATTGCTTTTATTCGATTATCGGCGACACGACGCCAAGTTGCCCTCGTAAAATCGCGTACTATGTCCTGTGTCCCTTTTTCTTCCTTTTTCTCTCCTTTCTTTTTTTTTTTTAATTCGTGAAACAACTTCTCGTCGAATGCATTAATTGCGGCGAGATAAAAGTCGGTAACAAAACTTGACGCGAGTCTTTGTCGATTTTAGCTCGCGTGCTCGTCGAGAAAAGTCCGTAACAAAGTACGAATGTTGGCGACGTGAGTGGGAGATAGTACGCGCGATTGACGATAATGGCAGGATACCGTTTCACTTTTCGCAGGCGAAGGTATCGCTGATGGCAACGAGACGAGGGGATCTTCAGATACAGCTAACGTCTCCTCAAGGCACGAAGAGCACTCTTCTTGCTAAGAGGCCGCACGACGTCTCGAAGGCCGGTTTCAGCCAATGGCCATTCATGTCGGTGCACACGTGGGGCGAGAGACCGCATGGCACTTGGAGATTAGAAATTCACAACGAAGGTCGATACCTCGGTAAGTCGATCACGTCGCACATTGCGTTTTTCTCTTCTTTTTTTTAAGAACGTAACATAATCGCGAATCGCCTGATTAACGACGACGCGCGATTCGACGCGCGATTCGACGCGCGATTCGACGCGCGATCTTTGATCCCACGAGATACTAATTTCGACGCGATGCTAATTAAGATTGTGTCTGCATTTTTTAACTTTGCCCTTTTCCTCGCTGATAATTAATATCTCCAAAGTTTTGATCCCCCTTGCCGAGACTAATATCGTACAGTTATCGGAGAATTGTTTAGCTAATCGAGTAACTCTCTGATGGGAGATGTCTTAATTAAGGAAGTTACTTTTAACACTGGAAGAACCGCGCCCGTCACGTTGACGGCCCTTTTATCCTCAAGTTCTTCAGCTTGCAAAGTTTAGAAATTTTGCGACTTTTGACGGAACCTGCATTTGTGCGATACCTTAACGCATGAGAATCACAGATCGTCTGCGATGTTCGTCAAAATATCGTCAAAAGTATTGTCACGATCTTCTCAGACACAAATTGTCAATTTTCACTTGACTGATTAATCTCGATTGACGCTAAAATTGATGAAAGAACGACCGACAAATTACATTGGATGAAGAGATCCTAACGTTCACAGTGTCAAAATGGCACTCTCTTTCTCATTTCAAGCATTGTCCTGAGGAACAGACTTTCCTCGAGCACCCGTCAACTGCTACCTTGTGTACATGTCCATTGTCAACTGATATTCATACAAAGACCATTACGCGCTCGCGGAACATAGTCTTAGATTCAAACGTCAAAGACAAAGCCTTCGAGATTACTCTGGCATTAACGGCAGCGTCGGAAGATGCCCTTCACTGATCTAAATTTCAAATGGGATTCTACCTTGTTCGCTGTAACAATAGTTTCCAAGCGCCGCTCTGCGTCGCCACCGTAAGGTCACGGTTACTATGTCTCCTGCCAGCTACATCCACATTCGCATCCGACCGAAAGTGCCGTTGAACGGCCATAAGAAGCTCACCGATATCGGTGCATCCGCGACAGAGGTAATAACGCGCGAGATCTGTAAGACTTGCTCTTTTCCCGTTTCTCGGGGGTCTCGCGTTGCTGTTACCTCCGCAACCGCGCGGACAAATGTGTAACAAAGGACCAATTCTCTCGCACGCGTGACATTCAGACAGAATGGCTTAGACATGTCTAACATTGCATGAGCATTCCGCGATGCGACGCCGTAGTTGCTCCTAGGCTCCGCGCGATATTCTCACAGCACGGTTCGTGTACTCTTAGCACACGTCACCGGCAGCGGGCTCTTACGTAAGCTCCCGCTCGTGCGATCACCTAAGAAGGTGCATTATCCCCGAGACCGGATAATTCCCGGATTCAAGCTGCATAGCCTCGTCGCCGAGAGCGACCCCTCGTTCACCCTCTAACAGCAAATAGTAACAAGACGTTTTGTCGTGGAACGACGACGACGACGAGCGCCGATCTCGAGGCGAGCTACGAACGCGAAAACCACTCCCGGACTCCATCTCTCGCTCGCTCATCAAAGCCAATAGCTACGTAAACTTCCTTACGCGCTTATGTGTCTCAACTACACCGTCGCAGAGCCACTCCGCAACTGCGTCGTAGACTGTGGCTCGCCCCGGTGGCGGGAAGTCCGCGGGGTATTCTAGGTCGCTCTTAGACTATCCCGGTGTTTATACTGTCGCAAGTACCCCGTGGACGTATTTCGCTCTCCCCGGCGTGTTCGCGCCCTATCGAACGAGAAGCACCTCCTCGTTCGAATGTTCTCGTCGACCCCGGATCCTCGTTAACCCCTTCGTTTAAGATCCCCGCACAGGTGAGAAACGACGGCGCGCAATCTCGTGTCAGGGCGACCGTCGGATTATCGACGCTCAACGCCAAATTCCCGAGCGTCCCGAGTGATCCTTCCGACTATCGAGCGCGCCGCGCACCAAGTGTCGCGTCACACGTCGTACTACCCATATCCCTCTAATCGCAACGTCCGCTTTCTTTACGCCGCATTCTCGGACGCATTCCGGACCAGGACGCGCTACCCTGCACGAGTGGGCGTTGATCTTCTACGGGACCTCGACGCTGCCCGATCGCACCGAGTACGCGCTCTACAATCCGGCCGGCATGAGCGTACCGAGACGGCCGTTCGTGAAGCCGCGCGAGACCAGCTTCTCGAAGAGCCAGAACGCCTTGGCGAAGGGCAAGCAGGCGCAGCACAAGTCCGACAAGTCCGGGAGCCTGAGTCCGCCCTACGTGGTGAACGCGCAGATACAGTCCCAGAGGAAAGGCAAAGCTCGCGGTCAGCACAAAAATGGCAAATCGGCCAGTCGACCGAACCCAAAGCCGACCGCTCAGACCCTCCGTGGTCTCACCGGGCTCAACAACAAGGGCCCAGGTGGCGTGGCCGGTGACGTGCGCTTAGTCACGTCAAGACCGCGCGGCCGCAGTACACCGAGTCCGATCACCAGCACGGCGACCCAAGCGATCGCCACGACCAAGACGCAGACCACTGCCACATGCCGGCACAAGATCGCCGACCTGATGACCGCCTCGCCCCTCCAGAGGGGACTGATCTTGTTGGAACCGCCGGCGAAGGAGGCCACTAACAAGGTCCCGGCGGTTTTCCAGCAGTATCCCAAGATCCAACAGCTTTATCCGGTTTACGGCGGTGCTCGCGGTGTCGGACAGCAGCACGCCACAAGGGCCAAAGGACTCGACCTGCTCCAGGACGAGCAGTTTGACCCCAGGAACATGGATAAGGGTATAGGCACCCATTTAGACGTCTGTGAGCGGGAGAACCGCCGGGACGCGTGGATCGTCAACGGTCGGAGGCTGACTTTACGTTAAATCGTTGCGACAAAATCTTACAAAGTACTATCGAGACGTTTTTCTAAACGAGCTATTTTTTATCACGGAACTTAATTACATAATTGTTAATGTTTAATTGTTTTTTTTTATTACTCTCTCTATCGTTTGTTTTAATTTCAAATCTTCGATTACGTGCTCTCTTGGTGAACTTTCGTCACGCGAGTTCTCTCGATCATATCACCGCACTTGTCGAACGTGAAGTACGAAATGTCAATTACTACGCAACGCCATATCGTATGCGCGACGTGATAATCAGCCCGAGACGAAGCTGACGGAATGTTCTCGTGGAAAGTATATGTCTCGCGGACGAATGTCGGTAATCACAAACACACACGGTGACTAACGATGTCAATCTGTCAACACTAGCGTTGCCCAGCCGCGCCATTTTGTAGGACAACAAAGAGATCGTTTCGCAGCTTCCGATCGTTACCCATTCGCGCGTTCACGTGTCCGCCCGCGCCCCCATACGAAGCGCGGAAAGAGTAGAGACGCCGGTATCGCTGCAAAGCCTGAAGATTAAACGGATCCGATGGAGTTTGGTTGCCGTATTCTCCCTTTTGTTGGCTGTTTCGGCTGATCGCGACCGCACCGTTATCGCCGTTACTTTCATTTATGTACACGTGGGTATATTACCCATGGCTATTAATACGTAGCGCTTTAGACAAGCTTGTCTCACACGCTCTTGTCCGCATTCCCTACACCTCGCGTGTGCGCAAAACGGTTCCACGTGAAGTGATCCCTTTGCGTATTTCACATGTTTCACATCTCTTTTTCGCGTAGTCGCTGTCCTTTTCGGATTAAAAAATGAAAATTTTTCATGCTTCATCGTTAACGTTGGCATGCTTTTCGGATCACCTCATGTGAGACATCTTTTATGCGCGCCACGATGTTGTTTTCTTCATTCCCAGCTCGTTAGAGACTGATCTGGATAATGTCGTAAGTGAACGTTTCATTGTCGCTGTGTTTGCTAACTATGATGCACCGATAAGATAGTCGAAAATAGCAGTATTGTAGAGATTGTTGAGATTGCCGCGCTGACTTGGCGTTTCATTAAAAAGCTTCGGAGGTATACCGTGTTGCCTCCGCAGCTTTAGAAAAGCACATTGCACTCGCAAACACTTTATTCTCGATTGAATTCGTATTTTATGTGTTTTTGCATGATTGGTAATATACATGTGTGCACGAGTTCGAACAAATCACGTTCTTCGTGAAATTGCAGCCCGAAACTTCGGGAAAGCCTCTTCTCTCGTGAATGGCGTACACTTGACGAGAATTTTTATGCATACCGCTCTATGCATCGGTCGTCGAATTTTTCTTTATGTTGGCACAGTCTGTGTTGCCTCTTCCTGTTGCCATGATCGAGATCCCTTACGAGAGAGCGGCAGGTCGATAATAGGAAAACTTATCGAGGCCGGCAACCGCGCTGTGGCCTTCAATCAAAACTTCCAATGACTTGGTTATCGATGAGCTCCGTGTGCAGCCGCAAACGCGTTCGTGTGAGTCGGCCGTCTAATACGTTACGCGCACCACTTTGTATCCTATAATTACTTTTACAGGCTGAATTCCTCTGTCTTTTCGGGGGAAAATTGCGCATTCTCATAATTGATGAAAGAAATCACGACCGACGTTTTCCTTGTATTGTTCGTTCTGATATTTATTTTGCAGTAATTTTAGCGCAATGTGTATGTCACGTTATTTTTCTATACCGGGAGTTTTCTTCCGGTTCGGAGGACCGTGATATTAGTGGTGCGGCAATTATCTTCTCCCGACGCGGAGCAACGATCCGGATTAAATTCTCCGATCGCACGAACCCGCATCGATGGCGTTCGTCATTACGCGTCGCGCTCGTTATCTCCTTACCGAATTCTCGAATTCCGGATCATTGTGCGGCCGCGCAAATCGCTCGAAATTCAGCGGAGTGCGGTCACGTGCGCCGGCATTGAAAACCGCGAACGCGTGTCGTAAAATGGAAAAGCCGACGCGAGCGAACGAATCTCATCGCGACGGAGATCGGATGGCTCCACTCGTCCGTCATCGTTGCTAAATAATTTCCGCCCGTGATTGGAAATTTTTTCACTCGCTTGCCTCACAAAATGGATTCCGCTCTTGAGGCTTTATTATCGGGGCTCGCTCCCTCTACGCGCGCGCTAACGACCTTGAAACACCCTTCTAGCACAATGCCCTCACGTTCTATTGTCTTACGGAGTCCCACCATGCCGCCTCGATCGACTTTTGACATTTTTACTCCCGTCCCTCTCCCTGTCGCCCAGCCGCCCTCTCATTTTCCTCAGTCCAGTCGTTGGTAAGTTATTTCCTCGATACTTCTCTCGCGAAACGACAGTCGTCCGGGCGTCGCGACGTCTGACAGCCACCTTGCATCCCCGTAACAGGGGCTCTCCAACGGCGACTTTATTACGGACGGCGACCGGCAGTTTACGTCGCCTGTGCAGCAACGAAAAAAAAAAGAAAAAATAAAAACGGACGCGAAAAGTTCACTCGCGAGCCAGTGACAAATTGAATTCGTTTTTCCGCTGCTTTGATTTCCGCTCGCTTGTTCGCAATCGTCGCCGGCGTCCAGCCGCGAAATTTAACCCCTTCCGGTAAAGTAACTTCATTTGAAGCCACGTGTATACGTTTTTCCACAAGCGAAATACTGGTATTAACGCATTCGTCTCTTAAAGAATATCTCTTGCAACAAATAAATCCGCAGGTTGTCCTGACATTAAAATTACAAAATCTTCTGTATCTTCGTTAATTACACATATATTTACGAATAATTAATTTTGAATAAATTAGTTGAATTTATCTCTCAATTCTTCTTATATCATTTGCGTTCATTAAACCTAATTTTGGATTTAATTTTGGCTTAATTTTGGGTTAATTTTGGGAAATTTCTTCTTTAAACACAGTTCCAACTCTTTGTAATAATTATTATTTATCTTTTCTTTCAAAAAAACAAAGGGAGGACATGTTGTCTTAATGGAATAAGATAATTTTTTAACTTGTAATTGACATCACGGTGATTACTTGCAACAAATTATCGCAACGTATTACAAAGCAAAGGTCGCATGTCCAATAGCTCTGCGCCAACCCTTAACGACCAGTCGGTCGTGGTCGAGAAGGTGCAATATTTAAAATTAGCTTCCATTTAGCTCAATTTTCCGTTTTGCCTGTGGCGCGATATAAACGTACAGGTATATCTCGCCCCGACGTAAAAACAATAATCGCCCACGAGTTCTTACCGAGTCGCGTAGGGAAGTACTTTGCATTTAATTTCGACGTACACATTTCGCTGAGTAAATGCGCGTGCGCGGAGTCGCCGCTGATCACTCGGTTATTTTTAACTCTAATTTAATCAAGAGACCCAACTCTCTCCCTTCTTCTCCTCTTCCCTTTTCCTCGCATCGTTGTCCCTACGAGCCAGCTCAGGACGAAATTTTCCCCACGGCATCGTGACGCTTTATTAATTTCCCGACGGCGCCGTTGACCCTCCTCCCCTCCTCCGCGCCGTTTCCACTGTCTCGACTCATCCCTCTTTCTCTCTTGGAACTTTCCGTTCTACCGCCGTCACCCTTGTGAGAACCGATATCTAATGCGATCCTTGCCGGCAAGAACGCGAAACAGTTTGCGAAAAAGTGAAAAGTACGTCGTTCGATAGACAGACAGAGAACTGGAGAAGCCGATAACGAAGCACGTTTATTGGCCGAATTATTATGGTTTCGCGTTTTATGGTAACATTTATTACAGCGCTGAATTGCGTTTCGCAAGGTTTGCGCTCGGCTTGAGGAGTGCGCGCTTGAAAGTAATATCGTATGTACACGTAATATTATTACATAGCACACGGGAATATAATGCGGTAAAACAGCAACCGTCAGAATTTCATCTATGGAAATGGTCGCGAGCTCCGCGAGCTTGCATTTCTATTCACAGGAACCGCGGTACGTACACCACACAGTTCGCTGGAGTTGATTGCAATGTCTGCATGTGTGTGTCTAATGTAAAAATAATAGTAGCTAGTCATTGTTATTATTTTGTGATAGCTACATGATGATTGCGTTACTTTCGAACCGTATTCTGCTTGTGAAACGCAGATAAAATATATGATTTTGGCTTGCGTTTCGTACGTTTTATCGTTTCCGGATGATATGACGGAATATATTTTCCGTTAAACATCACAATGCACCACACCGATATGTTAGATGCATAAATTGTCAAATATAAATTATCAGATAAACAATATGTTCAAAATAGTTTCAAAGTAGTGAAAAAAAGAACATTTTCATTTCACAGTTTCATCTTGAATGTGTGATCGCTTTACTTTCTCGCAGCCGCGAGTATTACATATTCCCCCGGGCGCGCGCATGCCCTCACTCGGTCTCTAATGCCTGAGAAAAATGCGCGTGATTTGTTCGCGTCACGTTTCACGCGAAATCTCCCGCACAAGTCGACGTGAGGTAGCCGACCGCTATCGACCGAGAGAGCCACGCAATCAACGTAGCCGACGGCTTTGTTTCAGATACACTAGAGGAGTGGAAGCTCGTGTTCTTCGGCACGGAAAACTCAGTGGAGATAGGCGATGAGCTGGACAAGGACAAGCCCCAGCCACCGGTGCGCCACCAAGAGACAGTGCAGGACAACGCGGCCACGGACCCTCGACAGAACGCCGTGGACACTGAGGGTGACCCATGGACAGGTAGCCAGCAGGTGGACCGAGTCTCCCACCCGGAGGTACAGAGGCCAACGACGGAAAACCAGAGGAGCGGCTGCGCCACCTTCGAGGCCAGAAGTGGCAGGTGCCTAGGTGGGTGCCTCATACTACTCCTTCTAGCCTACCTGACCGGTAGCGTGCCCGGCTGGCAGGAGCTGATCACCAGCTGGCCAGCCTCGACGGACAGTCGGAGCGAGCCGGGCGCGGAGCCGAAGCGGCTGATCGCGACTGACGTCTCGACGACGACGACGACGACGACGACGACGACGACGACGACGACGACGGTGGCGGCGTCGAGTGCCGTCGACGCGACGACGCGGCACGTGTCTGCGTTAGGTAGCTCGCCGGTGGCGTGCGGGTGTTCATGATGACGGCGAGTTGCGTTCGGTCCCGCGACAGCTCGCGTCGCGATCCTGTGACCTGCGGGAGTCCGAGGATTTTCGCGAGCGGCCGCGCGGACGTCGACGACGTGCCTGACGATCGTCCTTGTGATCGTGAAACTTTAATGTACTTGTGACGTGCGCGTGCACGCGCGCGCGCGCGCGGAAGAGATGGGAGAAGGAAGGGAAGACGCGGAGGAGAAACTAGTTCCTCCTCTCTCTTTCTCTCTCTTTCGGTGCTGTTGCCTCGAGGATGGACTTGGAGGACTTCCGACTGAATTACCCATCGTCTGTCCTCCTCTTTGTGGGAGAGAAGCGGGGTACGTGTTGAGCGATGGACATTTCCGAAGCTGAGGAGTCCATGGAACATTCCTCGCGACTGGTAACGTACGATCTCTTGATCGACGCGCGTCGCCATGAGCGTTGGCTTCCGCGGACTTTGCGTTCGTGTCGCGCACGAGGAAGCGAGTCTCTCGTGGCCACCGTCACGAGCCATCCGGACGCCTGCGCCGTCGACTACACCGTATATTCGTGGCGTCGATGTGACGGCAGCTTCGACTGATCGAAGTTTCCGCGGCGAGGAGGATGGGACGGGTACTCAGCGCGCGGTTCTGCACGATGAGCTCTCGATTTCGCGAAAGCACTCTGGAAGTACGCTTATTTCTCGGGGCGATCTGACTGCTTCCATTCCAAGTGTTACAAGAATTTCGCCTTTTCCCTTCTTTCTCTCGTCGCCGACGCATTCTTGTCAAAGTTTTTAGAGAAAAGAGCATGTAATAACAGTTACGTACGACACGAGCCTCGGCAAAAGGCTGATGTATCACGCGGTAGAAGTTCGCGGGGAAGCTTCGCGCGAAGCGAAATTGCTGACGCGAAATCTCGCGGGAAATCTCGACGTTGCGGGCTTCGCCCGGACGGACACGAGGCAACGTGATTTTTGCATGTTGCTCGAGCTGTTAGCATCGTTTCTTACCGTTATCTTCCCGCGGTGAGTTTCTCCTCGAAGTAACGCAAGGTAAATTCTTCCGATAAACGAGATCAATGCGGAACACGGGTGAGCCATCGCGGCAAGTTTCATGTCGCGGTCGCAATGCGGCCGATAAATAACCGATACTTAAGAGTCCGCGAGACCAACGACGGAAGTCGAGAGTCCATCGTTTTTTATTTTTTTTTCTCGCAGAAATCTTTCCCGCGCGGTTACCATAGTCGCAGCCGTAACTCTACGGGGTGTGCTTGTAAATATATGCGAAGCGTATTTATTATACTTCGTGGAGTTACGCGCGATCTTAGAAGTTCAGAGAATAATGGCGCCGGAATCCCGCGGCATCCTCCTCCTCCTCCACTATTTTCTTCTCCTCCCCCACTTTGGACGCAGCAGAAATGGGGAAAGTAAACAATGTTTAGACAAATGTATTCACCGGAGCCGCTTTGTTTTGCATAATCGTGTTGAAAATAATCGCGAGTCACCATTACGGTGAGTATGTATGTTGTCGGTCTGTGTGTATATGTGTGTGTGTGTTCGCGCTTCTATTCAGCGCTGTACTTAAACGTTAAAGGCGGCCGCCCGAGTTCGAATTTTGCTCGCCTGACGACGAACAAATCGTATTCAATGTGCCAATGAGCTAAGTACCGTACAGCCACTTTTAACGTTAAAGGTGTGACTTTGACGGAAGAGTTTTCTTAGCTCTGCCGCTTCCGTTGCGCCGAGAACTTTACTCTGACACACTCAGAATGACCTGTGCAGCATGGCTGCGCCAATTACTATCCCCATTACGGTAAAACGTACCGTGTGTCTTTGACGAGTCGAAGGAAAAAGCTCGATTTTGTGTGCAATCGCGACGCAGCACGATTCTTTCGCCCAATTCTGCTCAGTCGAAGCCCCCGCCATCATACGTGAGACAGCGTCGCTTCGCATGTGCGATTCTCCGCGAAGCTTTTGTACGAGACAAAAATACAACAAGGAGCCATCGCGCAACTGCCATTAGCGAGACTCGCGCCCAAGTCGATCCTGGAAATATTGCCTCGCGTAACTTATATAGTACACCCGATGGAGCTGCAATCCATTTCGGAGACTCGCCACGTCGTCGATTTTGATAGACGGGAGTGGCCTCAACGTGTTCCAGGGGGAAACAGTTTTTCTCTCGTCTTCTTCTACTTCTCCTTTTCATTTTCTCTCATTCTACCTGTCTGTCTATCTACCTGTGTATCTATCTATCTATTTCTCTTTTCGATACAAACAGATGCACGAAAATACACGATATCTCTCTCTTTCTCTTTCTCTCTTTCTCTCCTCCTTTCTCTCTCTCTATTTCTTTCTCTCAATTTCTCTCTTTCTTTATATTCTCGCCTGTCGGTCTATGCCTCTTTTGTTTTCCATAGTAACATCCTCCAGACTGCCAGTCTTCTCTTACACTACATTCTGAAGCTTCCATGCTTCACACATAAGTACTTCGCGGTCCCTCCAACAGGGTAGGATATTCGGTCGAGCTATCAGCACTGCCGAAACTAGGAGCTACCTAGGATGGTTCTCCGGCTGCCTATGTAAACAATTGGGGACGGGGTACTACACGAGGCCGCGTGTGGATTTTGGGCGCGCATTCAGAGTACCAGGCTTTATTAACACGAACGAGATGATCGTGTGTACAGAAATCTCCGTTGGGAATCAACAGTGTTTTTTCTTATTAACGAGATAATATCTCTACGATAGATTGCACTATTTCTTTATCTCTCTGACAGAAGAATAATATTAAACTACTTGAAATTTAGTGATATTGTTTTGACGATCAATTATTGATTCGATCAATTGATTCGTAGAAGAGAATGTTCCAATGTTAATGTTATTATCGAAACGTATTGTGATTATGTATCAAAGAAAAATAGCTAATATTCTTAATGCTTCAAATACAGAAATAGAATTCCTTTTGTATGCGCGAAGGGAGAGGGTTGATATCGAGACGTTCATAATTCATGTTCGGCCTCGGACGGTACGATATATGCGAAATCTTCGACACACTTGCTCAAACATTGTTAACTATGATAATTAAAAAGAAATCGCGAGAGAGACCCGCGGACTTTAATAAGTAAATTGATCGAGCGCTTTTAGCGTTTAACCAACTCGGCGTCAAGAATGCCGTTAAAGAACCTGATATTTTCTGAACATTTTTTAGACACACTATCGTTTCACTCGGAAGAATCTCTGTAAACAACGGCGAGTACGTTCTTTTGCGAACTTAGAGCTGATCACGCACGCGTGCTCGTTTTGTAGAAATTTCGATCACAGGAATAAGCGGGGAAACTCGACGGGAAAGTCGAGGCTTCGCGGCGACGTTGGCGGAGCGATTTTTCTTTATCGCGGATCGATCGTCAACGAGTTATCGAGTCCGGAGGAAGTTTTCGCATCGAGAATCCGCCACTACGAGGATTCGTTTCTAGGATTTACGATTTATATCACGGCGCGGAATCCAATCATGTGCCGTCGAAAGTTGTAGGCCACAAATCAGAAGTTAACTGCAAAATCTGCGCGGGACAGGTCAGAAATCGGATTACAATCGACACGGTGTTACTTTCCCCCGGATATTGTACACCGCTTTCAGATATGCCGCGATTCAGCGAAACAGCATACGCTGACTAATTGGCGCCGATGTAATGTTTCGCGCGACGAAGCAGTTAATTAAAAGAGGAAAAATAATGATGCATGAATTCATCACATTGTTTGTCCTCAATCGAGAAATCGTACCCACTGAATTTCGATAAATTATCATTGTATTCCGACAAATTTGCGAAAGGTCGACGTATATTTTCCTTATTTTTAAAATATCCGCACGATCCAGTTAATTAATGAGCGTTTTGCAAGAGTCACGAATGGTAACTTGATAGACGATATTTCGCACGGAATTTTCATGACACGTCGAAATTTCGGAAATCGATGCGTCACCAAAAAGCTGGACAATAGTCCGAAAAAGGGGAGAATATCGAATGGCCGCGAAATTAAATTGACGTCACAATCGCAATTCTAAATGTCTGCCACTTTTTCTCTCTCTTTCTCTCTCTCCTAAAGTGGCGCCCTGCGAATGAAACGTTTGTGATTTTTCGAGATGCGCTGATACTCTAATGGATGGCTTTCGAGCGCAATCGCGAGCAAAAAACGTATTAATTCCAGAATCCGTTGGTATTATGTCGGCGCACGGAATTAAAAAAATCGATCGAATGCTCTCCCGTCGGATGCACTGAATATCGCAATTTCGAAATTAGTAATCGTCGCGCAGATTTATCCGGAATTGGTATATTTATCCTGCTATTGGTAGCGAATCAAGCGGAATTCTATTTCACTTGTTGTTTTGTTTAACACAGCAATAATCCATCAGAATTAATTTAAAAGCTAAGTTGAAAAATAAAAGTTCCGATTGTCATGTCACTGTTTCGAATAGCGACGTGAGCACAACGGCGAAAAATTTCACTGTTCAAAGGTTTGATAATGTAAAAGCCCTTTAAAATTTCCAATTACACACACATGCAAAAGGGATGAGCTCAGCTTTCAAACGAATCGCTTCATCTCTCGTAATAGATAAAACGAAAACGGCATATCTCACACTTTCTCTATATTGAATTGTTGTTGGGATTGTTAATATTATTGATTGCCATGTTAGTTAATTAGAGTATATTTTACGTGTGATGTTAAGGTTCGGAGTCTATTCTTACGATCAGCCAGGTTCA